CTCCAATGCCATTTAAATTGTCCCAACAACATCATTTTTAATAACGGCCTGAGGTTCCATTGAATGGACAGCCCATCACTTGCTCATCCAATCCCTAACATGGGCATTTTCTCTATTTCTCTATTCTGGTGTAAACATCTTTGTGACTAAATCTTTGGCCCGATTTTAGCTTCCTTAGGATGATTTTCTAGAAGAGAAATTATTTCAAAGATTAAGCGAAAATGACACTCTTGCTTCTCCTGCCATGAGAGCCAGGTGATGGAAAGAGGAGGGCACTCCCACACTGTCCGCAGGACGATTCCGCCCAGGGGCTTAAGGAATCCTGGAAAGTCATTTTGGGGGGAGCAATGGTTCTGAGAGATGGCAAAGACAGGCGAGACACGGAGAGCCTGCCCAACTCACCACCCACTCCACCAGTCTCAGTTGCAAAGGCAGCAGGACTGACTTCCTGCAAATCTGAGCGTGGTGGGGGTAACACCTCTGTGGCCAGCCTTTTCCCTGGCCGCCTGCACCTGGTACACATCAGTATCCACACAGTGGCCTGGGTCACTGAGAATCACAGCAGACAACATTTTCTATCTTTCTAAAGGTTCACATTATCCCACATACAGTTTTCCTATTGCTACCAGAGTCTCCAACCCTTTCCCCTAGACAGATGGAAATATTCTATGATAGACAAGTTCTTCTTCATGCAATCTTCTATGGCTGAACACGAGGCTGCTCCTAATGACATCACCCATGTCACTCGCTGCCTGAGTAATACTCAGTGTATCTTTGTGTCTGTTTCCTTCTTTCTCTTTGGCTACCAGGAAGCATAGATTCAGACTCATGATTTGAGTCCAGAAATGTACAGCCTTCTTCTCTTGGCTCAGTTTTTACCTGGGTGTACACAGGTTACTTTATCTTTTAATCTTTCTGGTTCTGATGTTTTGCTGCTTATTTATATTTTAACATGCTTCCTCTTGGCCTTCTCAAAGCCTTGTAGAACAAGGAAGTACACCCATAATTAATAAAGTCTGCAATGAAATGTGGAAGTGACCATCTACAGGTGCCCGGTTTTCCTCTCTCTAGGAATCGCTAATCACTATCCCTAGTGTGACTTTCAAGAATGACATCACCAGATCAAACACTCAGAATATCATTTGGGCCCTGATACACACTACCCAGAGCTTTCCAAAGGGAAGAGGGAAATGTGGTTGAAACATGATATAGGTAAGAAAACTGATCCCTCAATTATATCTTCAAACAAAGGCAAAAGGGCTGGGGCAGGAGAGAGCTGGAGGTAGCCGGGAGTGTGGCTGTCACCTGCTGGTTCCCTTGACTTCCTCCTTCCACTCACCAAACCATTGGTGCTGCAGAGTTACCTGTGCTGCCCCACGGGAGATGGACAGGCGCTGAGTTCAGTCTTGGTGGAAGGAGGAAGAAGGAGGGCTAGGAAAAGAGCAGGGGAGGCACCCTGGCTCCTGCCCCAGTGCTCCTGGCTTTGCTGAGATGCCAGTCCTTGAGAGTGGCTCCTGAAGTGCACTTTGAGCCAATGTCTGGCCTTTGGGTGAAAGTCAGCATCACAATCATGCCTTTGGATCTGGAAAGGTAAGTGACCACTCACATTCTCCAGGCAGGACCTCTGGGCTCACATCTGGGATGTGACTGGTCACTTTCTAGTTTTTAAGCATCCTATTATAAAAGATTGCAGAAATACAATTTCATTTTCATCATGGTCTTTGAGGAATAAACTATATTAGAGGGAGACAGGGTGGGCTGTGGCAGGGTGCAGAGGGACATTTCCCCCTCTGAAATGAAGGGCAGGGACATTTCCTCCAGCCCTCTGCTGCACCCCATGCTCCCCTGAAACAGACTGAGCCCAGATTGTCTCTCCCCAGCTAAGTGGGAGTTATTCCAGGGCAGGGACTGCATTGCAGGTCTGGAAATTGGGGGACTCAGGAGGAACTCCAGGAGAGTGAAGGAATCAGAGATGATCCCATCCTGCCACCTGAAAGGTCAACTCCTGGAAGGCAGGGTGGGAGGAGTCTTATTTGCCCCTAGCTTCCCATCAGGGTGTGCAACACAGCCTTCAATAAATGTTTATTAATGAACAAACTTGTGTGGGGGTGAAAGGATGAATGGGTGGATGGATGGATGGATAGATGGATGGATGGATGGGTGGATGGATAGATGGATGGGTAGATGGATGGATAGATGGATGGGTAGATGGATGGATGGATGGATAGATGGATGGGTGGATGGATGGATGGATGGATGGATAGATGGATGGGTAGATGGATGGATGGATGGATAGATGGATGGGTGGATGGATGGATGGATGGATAGATGGATGGATGGATGGATGGATGGATGGAAGGATGGATGGATGGATAAATAAGTGATCCAGTGGTAAAGTATAGGATATGCTGTACATAGGATTTGGGAGAGGATCCCACATTAGATGGGGCTTTACTAAAGATCCCAGCCAGTCTCCTCCAGGATGCTGCTTTCCTGGGCTTCCCCAACCTCCAAGCATTTTCCAGTGTCAAACACTCTGCAAGCCACACCATTTTTCCCTCATGTGTCTTCCTGGTGAATTCTTACTGGCCTTTCCAGGAACAGCACAATTTCCCTAATCCTTCTTTCTGACTGACTTGTTTCTCCCTCTTCCTAGCCGGTTTCCCTGCCCACCTTACCTTCTCATATAGTCCTGTTTCATAACATATTTCTCTCCTAATGGGTACAACCCGGTCAGAGTCAGAGATCTCCTTGTGTGCCCAGTTCTGACATCCAGAAGTCTTTGCTTTGTGAATTAATTGACTTCCAAGTTCAGCTTTTTTTGATTTCTTTCAACCATCCTGGATGATCTATAATCAGAATCCTATAAAACTAAAGACTGTGCAGGGTACGCAATTGGTGTGGGCTTCACTTGCACACAGAAATAATTTTCATCCTCCCTGGCTGAAAAGTTACATGAGACTCATCACATATTGCCATCGTATTGACCTAAAGTAATGCTCAGGGCTGGGGTGTAGCTCAGTGGTGGAGCACTTCCCTAGCTTGTGCAAGGCTCTGGGTTCCATCCCAGTACCAAAATAAAAAAGAGAGACAGAGAGACAAAGTTCTACTCCTAGTGTTAGCTCAAAAGCAGACAAAATCATTGTTTGGTTGTAACTACTAGATCTAGAGCTCATTGTGAGCTGCCCAGCTGTCCACAGGGCTGTCCCAAACCATGATTGAACAATGCAAAGATGACTGCAGTGTGGTAGAAGACTCCGCGTCACAACCAACAACCACATGGAATTTTCGGTCCTTGAGATGCACTCTCCTCCCATGGGTAACCTAGACTGGGAAGCCTCTGCCTTCCCATCAAATCTTGTTATTCTGTGTCAGACAACATTATCATGGTCCATCTGCCCGAAGGCAGAACGGATCCTTCCTGCACCTTCACCCTTCATTTTACAGATGGGGAAACAGAGGCCCAGGTGAGAAAGGGGATTAACCAGAGGTCACGAAGCTAGTTACCAGTGAACCAGGCGAGAGCCAGATGGAGCCTTCTCTTTGCCCCTCTGGTAATCCCCAAATTTGGCCAGGCCAATAAGTGTGAATACCAGGTGTTCACCAGTGCTCACCTACTCATCGAAGCAATGTCTGGGACTTAGAAAAAAAATCCCTGCAGTGAAAAGTCTCCCCCCAAAGAGCATATGTTACTATGAATTTCCAATCAGAAATTAACTGAGCTATTTGCACAATTTTGGGGGTAAAAACCTAAAAGCTCAAATACCTGCATTTTTGAACCAACTGGGGAACAGGTGAGAATTTCCCTCTGGGAAGTTTTATTCCTACATCCCTGGAAAGCAGGGCAGGCCCTGCCTGAATCACTGTGGATCCACTTCCAGGACAGGAGTTCAAGCCCCATTTCAGTGGCAGAATGAAAACTTGCTTGGGGTGAAGACAAGACATCCCATGCCACTCTTGTTCATATTGTCACCTCCAGAACCCACAAAGCACCTTAGCAAGCACAGCTTGCTGCTTCCATGCCCTGTAGTCTCCTTAGGGAGACTTGGGGTGCTGGCTCGGTGCCTGGTTTGCATCTGGTGCCCAGTGAGAGGAAACTTGCAGAAGAGGAGTGAGTGGAAGGTTCTTCGTCCCTTTAAGAGGAGGAAACAGGAAGAGAATGCTCCAGAAGTGGTGGGTCCTTAATCCCCTCACACTTGGGGGGCTCTGGCTCTCACTCACATGGGGAAGATGGAAGGTCCCTTCCTGCCCACTGGGCTGGAACCCTGCAGACCCCGCTTTCTTCCTCCCCATCTTGTTGGCTGCACTGGGAAGGCCAAGTTAAAACCGCTCATTCTGCAACACCCACCTGATTACTCCCAAAAGAGTTGCCACAACTGTATTAACAACCAGAACAGGGAAGGGAAGGGAGTCCTCCCGTGTGGTTTTGTTAAAACTCACAGATGCTCAGAGACTTTATTTTATAAACAGGAAAACCAAGTGGCCCTGCCCAAGTGCACACAGCCATTGGTGCCCTCGGGGGCAGGCCTCCTCCTCTGGTTGCTGATTCCTAGGTGGCTCCCTAGGTATTCAGGAAAGGTTGGCCGAATTAAGCTTGACCTGAGTGGCAATTCCCAGCCAGGTTTTAAACCGCTTTTTCGTTTAAACCACTTGTTCTCAAACTTGACTGTATGAGAGAGTTACCCAAAACTGTGGGTGCTGGGTCCCACCTCCAGCAATTCTGATGGAACTAGTTCCAGTGCTGCCCCAGCACGGAGATTTTTTTTTTTTTAAGCTCTAGAAGATTCCTGTGTGCAGATAGGGCACGCTGTTCTGAACCACACCACTTCCCCAGGGCAGAGAATTGTTGGTCCCTCAGGGTCGTTTTTCCCTCCCCTCCAGGATATTGGCATAAGGGTTTGGGTCAGTAGGAAAATGGAGAAGGACCTTCGGTTCACCCTTGGAAATAAGCTGTCCACTCCCCACCTTTAAAAGACACAGAAAAGGACAAGGTTTGGAGATCAAGTTAAATGTCCAATTTATTTTTATAACTTGAAACCAGAACAAACTTGGTTTTGAACAAGCGTACAAATGAAATGGCAGACACATGCTGAACTCAACATTGTGACATTAAGGGAAAAAGAGGCCCAAAATCTTGTACAGAGAATAAAAGGAACAATAAATATTTTACTAAGCCATATTGAAATGACCTCCTGTCATCTCAACATTTTATCCATAATTAAAAAAAAAGAGTGCCCGTTTTTTAAACAGAGCACAAATACCAAGCAATAATAAATAGTTCCAAACTTGTAGTAAAAGACAAAACCTCCAAGTAAACACAAAAGCTCATACAATAAGTAATAGAAAAGGTAATAAAAATATTTCGCCTTGCCGGTACAAATGCAAACGACTGAAATCAATGTAACTTTGCTTTGCAGGGCTGAGGTACAAAGAGCACCAAAATCACGGATTTGCCTGTGTTCAACAAAACCTTCAGCTGACGGACTGGGATGAAGGGCTGATGTCCTTGCTTTTCACATTTTGCTTAGAGTAATTCAGTCTCCTCTCCCCATGAAAGACCCTCCAATGGCAAGTGGCAGGTTCCGATTGGGGGCAACTTTGGGCAAAGTTGTGGCAGTGTGGAACCCGGCCTGAGGTCGGCTGGGTCACCCAGGCTGGAGGCCTCTCACTGGGTCACCTGCTTAACCACCAAAGAGAAGCAAAGCTCTCTTATCTCTGCGGTCGGCAGAGACACAACCCTTGTGCTTTATGATGGCTTAGTCCTGGCATTCTGGTGACTTGGTTGAGCTGGTGAGCGCTGGCTAGCTTTGAGAGCCACAGGAGAACCACGGTGGAGCTCCCGGCAGCTAGGAGGGCGGTGGGAGGGAAGGGCAGCTCTGGGTTTTGGCTCAAGCAGGTAGGAAACTGAAATCTCAGCTTTATGGCCCTCTCCCTCCCCTTCTTTTAACCTTGCAAAGGTAAATGGCAAGGGGGGGTGGGTGGTGGGGGGGGACAGCACAAACAGAAAGCTCCCAGAAGAAAGATTTCTGCATTTGGTAAAGATTTGCCCAGAAGGATGCTTGGTTATCTTTTTATAACCTGCAATAATGGTTTCTTACATTTCCTGAAATAAAAAATGGCTTCCTGATATAGGTATTTGTTAAAAATGTTTTATTCCCTCATCCAAAAAACCACCATTTTATTATTATCTTAAAGCTACTTGGCTTTACAAAAAAAAAAAAGAGAGAGAGAGAGAGAGAGAGAGACAAGAAGAAAAGAAAGAAGAAAAAGAGGAGTGGAAGAGACAGAGAGGGAGAAAGAAAAGAAATTTAATCAACAGGAAATGAACAGGTAAAGGACCAACAGAGGCTGGAGGGTGGGGAAATGCAGAGGGAGAGATACGAAAGGCACCGAATTCATTCATCCCAGGCCCTCGGCATCCGGAAACGGACAGATGTAGGTTGGAGACAGAAGCAGCGAAGCAGGGGAGAAAAACTGGCCACCACTCGGTGGAACGGAAGGTCCTGGTGCAAGGGTCCCCTTCCTCAGTCCCACCTGCGGGGCCCCTCCAGCGGGACCCCATGGACACAGCTCCTGCTGCTACACGTTCTGTCTGCCTCCTGTTTTCTCAAGGACTAAAGCAGCTCGGTCTGCGATTCTCTCTGCTCTCGAGAGCGGGCCAGGTGGTGGGGAGTGCCATGCAGTGACAGCAGAGAAGGAAGGCCACCCTGCTGGCTCCCCTCTGCAGCTGCCACCTTGCAAAATGGCCTCCTGGAGAAGGGAGGACTGTGTAAAACGTCACCCACATCTTGACAAAACTGATTTTTCCACTCAACACAAATAAAGCATTTCCCATCCGGCCTGCCGCGGCCACACCAAGGCGCCTTGATGTCAGGGCGGGCGTCCACATGGAAGCCCGAAGCCAACAGTTCTCTGTGCAGGCCAATTCTGACAAAAATATATACAACTAAAATGATCTGTGACCCAAAGCATTTAACTACTTCCTTTTGATTCTTTTTCTCAAAGGTTGTCAAACAACCCTTCTTCTCCTGTACAATAGGACTTAACATACAAATTTTTTTTGCAATATTTTATCCTGCCAAATTAAAAAAATATATTATGGCAGCCTGTTTGTTTTTGTTTTTTTTTTTCTTTTTATTTCCAAATTCACTAACAAAAAGGTACATTAAATCCCTTTAAAAGGACAAGCTTACAGTTAAAAAATTACAAGCTCCAGTAAAAATACAGCAAGTGCCTACATCATATGAACCAACCAATATATCCATTCCAGAGGGAGGTGGGGAGAGAAAAATAAGTACAGGTCAGAAATGTGATTTTTTTTTTCTGCAAAGCAATGACAATATTAAGCACTTTTTTTTTCTACATACTTTTTCTACATGGTGTAGCAATCCCCTTTTAATCCCCAAATACAAGTTTCTATACATTTCTTTTTGAAATAAAAATTCAACACCCAAGGCAGAAAAAAATTTACTAAAACTCCGACTTTACAGTTACTGTGACAAGAACAAATTTATAGACCCACCATTTAAATTTTACTGCAACATTTTCAAGGAAAAGAAAAAAGTTTTTTTTTTTCTTGTTTTGTAAAATGCCCAGGCATTCTCGATTATTACAAATACTGGTCCACTTTTACAGTAATCAAGAAATTTTAATATATATAATATATACTAAAACCCCGTCACCAAAAGAAAACAATATACACGTAGCCATTGTGGCATTTTTGTATAGCCTATTAAGCAAACTCTGAAAAAAAATGATCGCTCCAACACACATACACACAATTTTTTTTTACCCTTGTATGTATCCAATACTGTAAACGTATTTTTAAGACAGAGTGCACTAAATTTAACTTTAGAAAAAAATTAGCCATTGTTCCTGAATTGTTTTGTCGTTTTTTCATTCAACGATATCAACTTGTGTCACTTGAGTTTTAATTCAGCAGTAAGTCACCTCTACTCCACAACTAAGCAGCGTTGTCCCAAAAACAAAAGGGGCTGAGGATAACCGAGCTAATGGATGGCCAAGGTTGTGCTGGGGTTTTTTCTCACTTCATTGGGTCTTATGGCATTTTCATGTCCTGTATCTTCAACCAGGATTTTATTTTTAATTTAAAGTAAATGTGGCTTTGTTTCTAAAGAATGTACTTTTCTTGTTTTACTTTTTTAAAAAGTCTTTTCATTTAAAAAAAAAAAAAAGTTTTGCATTTGTCTCAAGAGACTCAAATAGGAAGATCAGTTTTCAAGGCACTCACATCAAATTGAATGGCAGTAGAAAAACTGTCCAATAAATTATTATTTTATTTTGTTCTTTATAGTGCCAGTATTGTGAATGCCACGCTTAGCAACACCGACACTCAATCTCAGCTGTCCCTTACAGTTTAACCCACCTCTGGGCCAAAGAAAATATGCTGCAATTTCTTGTTTAGAAGCCATTTAATTTAAATGCAAACAAAAGCTTTAAAGTGCGGGTCAACAGAATTCAAATGTCTAATATCAACAGTCCAATGTTAGTACCTTCCAACCTAATCCGAGAAAAAAACAACTGGGAAGTAGTGCTGGGCACCTTTGGATGGAGCTCTTCCTCTGCTTCTCTAGGGAGAGGGAACAGAAATCTGTAAGATGTTCCCCCTGTCCCTACAATGTCATCAGAGTGCACTGAATAAGTGGGCACTAACTTCCTCAATTCACCATCAAGGTGTCTGTCTGCTTGAGAAATGATCAGTCATCACGGGTAGCAACATGCGCTTGGGATTTATAGAATGGGGGTGAGAAAAAGAGAAGTCGTCAAGTCAGAAGAAGCCTGAAAGAACTCCGCTGGTTCCTTCCTTTCTGTGTCACTGTAGACCACCACTGTCTACTCCATAAAAAATAGCCTCAGCCCACTTTTTCCAGCCAAAACTACAGCAAAGGGCAGAGATGGCATCCCAGGGCACACCCACATTCCAAGAAAAGGGTGCTCTCTGCTGGTAATGCACAACCTCAGAATGCTCGGGGCCTCTTCCCAGGGCAGCCCTCGAAATCAGTTTTTCTAGTGGTACTTTGTGGGTGTCTCCCCCACCACCCCACTAAAAGTTTTCCCTATACCAGGTGAAAATTGACATCAACACAGAAAAGGCCTCTGGGACTCAGGACATCATCAGTGCTCCATCTCCATTCCAATTCTGAAACAAAGTGCTACAATTTTAAAGATTGTTATCCGCTGTACATCCCTCCCCCCCGAAAAATAAAATAAAATAAAATAAAAAGCCTAAAAATGCATGCCACTTTTTATTTCAGGACCAAAAAAAAGAGGGGGGGGGGATAAAAAAGTAAACAACTTTAAAAGTCATTTAAGTGTTGGCTTCTTCACAAGAAATTACACATGCTTAGCTTAAATTTCAAAAAAGCAGCGCCCCCCCCCCCCAAAAAAATTATAATTTAAAAGATATGCTTCCCCTCTACATTGCTGACGAGTCATTGCTCAGACCACTATAGGGTTAAAAAAATGAAGAAGGGATGAATACCCAACAAAATCTTTTAAAGGAATTTAAACAGAAGGAATAATAATAAAAAGTACCTGCACATGCCAAAAAAATTACAAAACCCAATAAATACAGAAATTATTGCACAGTTAAAAGGCTCCACAATTGTTTACTTCCTTAATCAACCCTCGGGTTTCCATAGGACTTCGCAGACACAGGTTAGGTTGGGGTGCCGCCTCCCCGGGGACACACGGGGCGCTAAGTGGCGGTGACGCGGAGGCAAGTCAGGTCGGCATTCTCGCGGTTGGCAAGGGTTCCACTGTACAGGTGAGGGGCGCCCAGCCCGAGCGCTTAGCTCCTCTCGGCCTGCTCGATTTTGACGTCGTTAGTCAGCAAGTGCTCGCCGTGCCACTTTTTCATGTGTTTCTCCAGGGTGCTGTAGACGCTGAAGGGCATCTGGCAGATGTCGCAGCGGTACACCTCCTTGCCGATCTGCCCGTGCGTCTTCATGTGGCGCGTGAGCTTGCTGCTCTGCGCGCACGCGTAGTTGCACAGCTCGCACTTGTAAGGCCGCTCGCCGGTGTGGCTCCGCCGGTGCACCGTCAGGTTGCTGCAGTTCTTGAACACCTTGCCGCAGTACTCGCACGTGTCGCTGCGGCGGCCCTCCTTGGAGCTGGGCCGCCCAGGGCCCGGGCCGCCCAGATGCGGCGTGCTGCCCCCGCTGGCGGTGCCACTGCGGCCCGACAGGCCGCCGTCCAGCAGGTCCCCGGGGGGCGTGGAGAAGCGCAGGCTGCCGTTCTCGGACGAGTGCTCGGAGGACGTGGCGAAGGGCGACTGGCGCGCGTCCGTGAAGCCCAGGAATGGGTCCTTCATGAAGTGCCGTGACGCCGCATAGCCCACGAGCCACTGCGAGTACACGTTCTCCGACGGGATGAGCGCGGCGGGGGGCAGCTCCAGGTCCTTCTCCACCTTGATGCGCTTGGCCGCGCTGTTGAGCCCGGGGCTGGGCAGCGGTGCCGGCTTGCGGGGAAAGAGGCCGGGGAAAGGCTCAGCGCCGGGCGCGAAGCCACCGCCCCGCCCGTTCACCGCGCCGCCCGCACCCGCATCGCCGCAGCCTCCCGCGTCGTCTTCGTCGCCCGTGTCACCAGCGGCCGTACGCTTCAGGAAGGCGCCACGCTTCTGCTTGTCGGCCAGCAGCTCGCTGTACTGGGGCAGCGCGCCCAGGCCCACGTTCTCCATGACCTTGCCCAGCACCAGCGCCTTCTCGTCGGCCAGAGCCTTGGCCGCGCCGCCCACGCCGCCCCCCGCGCCCGGCACCCCGGCCACACCGCCACCGTTCTCGCGGTTACGGCTCAGCTCCGAGTCCATGCTGAAGCTCGACTCGGGTCGGCTCTCGTTCTCCAGCAGCAGCTCCTCCTCTTCCTCCTCCTCTTCCTCGTCCTCCTCCTCGGGCTCGTGGCCCAGTGACGGGTCGCTCTCGTGGTGGCGGAAGTCGCCGTCGGACGCCTTGAGGCCCTCGCCAGCCAGCTCGCTGGTGCCAGGCTCCGGGGAGCTGGCGGCCGAGAGTCCGTCGTCGGAGCGACCAGCCAGCGAGCCGGCCTTGTGCATGTGCGTCTTCATGTGGCGCTTGAGCTTGCTCGCCTGCGAGCACGCGTGGTCGCACAGCTGACACTTGTAGGGCTTCTCGCCCGTGTGGCTGCGCCGGTGCACGATGAGATTGCTCTGGAACTTGAAGGTCTTGCCGCAGAATTCGCACGACTTGCTCTTGGCCGGGGGCTGTGGCGGTGGGGTGCTGCCAGGGGGCATGGCGGGCAGCGGCGGCGTGCTCAGGAAAGGGGACTTGGGGCTGGGCTGGAAAGGGTTCAGGAGCCGGTGCATAGGGTTGCCGCGGCCTGGCGACACGGGTGGCGGCGTGGAACTGTTGCCTGCCAGCTCGCGAAGCCGCCGCGAGAAGTCCATGGCAGGTGAGTCGATGGCCATGGGGTTCAGGCGCATGACTCGGTCAAAGGCACTGGGGTGCTGGGCGACGAGCCCCATCTCCTCGGCACTGAGGCGGTGCGGGTCCAGGTGGTGGCGTGGCGGCGGGCTGAAGAGCGGAGGCGTACCGGGCAGGCGGCCCTCACCAAAGCCAGGGTGGTCCCGCAAGATGGGGCCCGTCATGCGCAGCAGGTTGAAGGGGCTGCTGTCGCCCAGGAAATTCATGAGTGGGGACTGTGCCACAGCCTCGGGCCCCAGCGGCGGCGGGATGGTGAGCCGGGGCGTGAGCGAGCTGCTGGCCGGCCCGGGCTCCAGGTAGATCCGGAAGCCATGCGTGTTCTGCGCGTGCTGCAGCAGGAACCACGCGCTGTTGAAGGGCTGCTTGCATGTTGTGCAAATGTAGCTGGAAGGCTCATCTTTACCTGGGGAGACACACGGACAGAAAGGCAGAGAGAGCATGAGAAGTGGCAGGGGGCATGGGCACCAAGGGGCCACTAACCTGGAGGCAGTCAGCAGACCAAGAGCCCTGTGCTCCCACAAGAGGCTGCAGGGCCACTTCTGGGCAGGCCTGGCTTTGCTCTTCCCACCTGGCTGGGCACTGAAGAAGTCAGATCTGTGCATAGGGCGCCCTGGTAACTGGATCTCAACAAGTTCCTTCCACTCTGTAGCCTGGCTTTTGCCTGTCCTCAAGGTGCTTTTCTCCTTATCTCAGAAACCAGATGAAAGTGTGCCCAGAAGAAAGCCTTATTTTAATGGAATCAGCAAACAATGGACTGGGAAAAACAGCTAGGCCAAAGCTCAACCATATAAGGCAATCTAGACTGGGGTTTCTTAACCCAAACCCTATTGACATTAGACCCCAATGATTCTTTGTTGGGGTGGGAGCAGGGCAGTCTTGGTATTGTGGGGAGCACCCCTCCTTCTGAGTGGAGACCAAAAATATCTCCAGACACACCATTTGTCCCCTGCAGAGCAAAATCACCTCTCCACCATGGGAAACACTGATTCAGACAATATTTGATTCAAGGTAATTGCAAAGAAATGTTTTTTTCTTGAGGAGAGATGGTTGCGATATCTTTGCAATGTTTGCCATTTAGCCATAGGAAATCCCTGTGTTTCCCACACCAGTGTCCCTGCAGAAAGCACTGTGCAGTTGAAACAGCCTATATAAAGTGCTGCAGAGACCCAACAGCTGTCCCTGCCTAGTGTCCTCATGCACAGGCCAGGCCCCAGATGTGGTGTGGAATTCAGCTTCCATGGGCCCCTTCAGGACACTGACCTCGAGGAGTACCAGAATACTAAGGAATGAAAGGCCACGCCATGCCTGACAGGCCATCAGGATGAACCACTGTAAAGGTTGATTTGTCAGAACTGGCTCCAGTGATATGGGTAGCAAACTGTAAGTGGGCTCTGGTGGCACTGAGCCAAAATGTCACCGTCTTTGTCCATCATTGAGGCAGTCACAAAATGGAGGCTGAACCTTTCATCTGGAACCTTCTCACAGCCGGCCTCCTCGACCTCTGCTGAATCTGGCTGCTCTGCCGACCGGAGCCCCTGTTAACGCTTTACACAAGTGAGACAGGCGCGGACAGGCCATCTTCCATCATCAGATGCACCAGCCGGGAAGGAAAAAATAACAGGAATCCCATCCCAGACCAGGTACAAGACGTCGCCACTGCAGTCTTGAAAAGCTCCTTTTGTTTTATTCAAACTTTCCTGAACCTGGAAAATCTAACGCAGATTTTAAAGTCAGGCACGCTGGTGAGGCCAAACATGCTCGTTGTCATCGCGCCCACATCAGGAAGGCCACACGGGGGGAGTAGACAAAGCAATCCCCATCTTGGCTGCTCCACCCCTCGACTTAAGGACTCTGAAATCCCGCGCAGAGCGTGTTTTTGTTTTACACCCACTAATTATGTTCCTGGAGGGAGCAGCCTTAGCAGAGCTTGTAGCTGCCTTAACTATCCTTCAGAAACCATCTTTAAAAGGCACAAGGCACGTGGCCCTGAATTCCACCAGAGGGATTCGGTCTTGAGTGTGCCTCTCTCACAAATTAGCCTTGCCAGCATCCAAGGGTCGAGGACCTCCCGACACACCCCCCATGGGCAGTGTTGCAGAAGCTGCCCAACGGGCTGGGCACAGACTCCCCAGACTTCAGAACCAACCCGATGGGACACCTGGCACTGGAAACCGGGACGTGCTTTTACGTGCCTGCTGTACTCGGGGATTATGCCACAGTGCACTCTCACTTTGTGTCTGTTTGGTGGAGAGAAGACCAGAGGCAGGGAGGGGCAGGACAGAATTCTGAGGCTCAGCCTCGCCTCGCCTTTAAAATAGCTCAGGGAGAACTTCCAAGGCTATTTTCTTCTCCAGGGTGTTGGGGCCTTTTCCCTCTCCCAGAGTGTCTGAGTGACTCTGTCCCTATCACACCCCCCAAGGGAATGTCCCCCACCTGGAAGAGGGTAGAAAGGCCTGAATGGCCATGATGCTCATTGTCGGGCCACAGACACCCCCACCCTTTCTGCAGGCCACTAGCAGAGGGGGCATCGGCTTCTCCGGGGAAGTGGACATCATACCTCAGACAGCTCATGAGACAGACAGCCAGAAACCATACTTAGAGGGCTCTTATAAGTAAGCAATAAATGAGAAGATAAATGAAAGTCCTTTTCAGACCCAGGAGCTAATGACACAAATGAAGTGCCACGTCCACCGAGGTCACAGATCTTCAAATTAAAAGGCATGTCAGAACCCTTCCCCAGCTTCGTCCAATCTAACTCAAGGGTTGATGGCCCACGGCCACTGTGGTTCTGCCTGGTTTTCATCTGGACCTCCCTCCCCACATCTCTTCTCCATCATCTCCGCTTCCTTAGGTAGCTCCAAAGCACTTCCTGTTTCTTGATCTGGTGGCTATGCATTTCCTAGAAAGTTCTGTGGCTAGTGGGGAATTTCAGAGGAAAATGCAGAGGTCCTAGGCAGGGCGATGAAGACTGCCTGGAGGCCGAAATGGCCGATTACATTTTTTAAAAACTCAAAATGGCAACTGCTGAGAAACATGTAGCTGCATGTTCTAAAAAGCTCAGATGTTTCCACTTCTTGTTTTAAAAAAAAAAAAAAATGGACACTTCTAAAACTCCAGCTTCAGGAGGAATTTACCTGTCCATAATTCACCGTGAGGTAGCAAAGAGCTCTGTTTACAAGTGGGATCTCAGGCCGTCTGTCATGCCAGGGTAAGTTCTTTCTTACCAGAGCCCCCTGACCCACTCTGATTGGAAGATCCCCTATGTGAACAGCAAAGCTGACCACAGGCAGTGGCCTCCCTGGGATCTGACAGCACCTGACCGTCTGAGGCTCTCCCAGCCCTCGAGGCCCTCCCTAGACAACTCCTTTGACACCCTCATTCTTTTTTTAATAAAATGACTTCCTGGTTATCTCCTGCCATAAGTGGTCCTGAACACGGGACTCTCACTTCTAAGGCCAGAATACCAGAAAGTCTTTGAAGAGCCACTCTGAATGTTTTCAAAATGTATTCAAAAACTCAATTTTCTTAAAAAAAAAAAAAAGCACAAATTCAGCGGTGGACCCTTAGATAGCAGGCTGATTCCGACTCTGGGCCTGCCCATTCCCCTTCCTGAGATCAAACACGCCCTGCACCAACCCCTCCTGGAGCTCAGGCCACCTGAGGGAGTTGGAGGCAGAACTGTAGCTCAAGGCGAGTTCTTTGCTGGTGTCCCAGACAGGACCCACTCCCACCATGGCTCCAACAGAGACAGGTCAAGGCCTAGACTGTTTAGAAGTGGTTTACCCAGAAACATCGAACCTGGCCTACAGACCTGGAAATAGCAGCTGCGTTTTGCTCGTGGAATGGCACAGGGCAATTCAGAACTCAGGGCCCAGCTCTTCATCTGCTGGCTTCCTTCCGCCCTCATCTCTCGGACCTTTCTAGTGCCCTCTGGCAGAAGCCGACACTGGATCTTCTTGGTTCTACTGACTCTAAAGTGATCCCCTTGGCATCTCTCTCAAATGCAAAACCCTCCCCGTGACCTCTTGGTTACCAGAGCCCTGGACAGCAGCATTTGCTTAATACCTCTGCCCTCTTCCCAGACAGGTGCTGCCAAGCAAGTCACCTAACCCCTCTGAGCCTTGATTTCCTCATCAGTAGAACACAAATCACACACCTGCCTCGCTAGAGGGCTGGGGCATGAATGAGATGCTGTCCCTGTAAATCACGCATCGCCACGCAGCGGGTGCAGGGAGGGGTTCACTCGTTGCGGTTTTGTTTTCCATCCTGTGCCTGGTGGTGCGTGGTTCAGGGACGGCTTTCAGTGCGGCTCTGGCAGTAATAAAACCCTGGAGGAATTTTAATGCAGCCGGCCTCATGTAGTAGAGGTTCCCGGGAAGCAGAAACTTGCAAACGCTGAGGAAACGTGATTTTTTATGGTGACGTTGGGAACCAACAGGCAACTGGACTCCTGCATTGGAATGCTGCTTTCCCTCGGGTCCCAGACTCTGTTTTATGTGCATTGAAATAATGGTTCCTCCTCATGATGCCAGCTACTCTAGTAAGACCAATAAAGGCATCAGGGTGTTCCATAAAAAGCATACCTTTAATTGAATCATTATTCAATGAATAGGCCATAATTGAGAGTGCTGGCCCTCCAGGCCAACTGATACCAAATGGAAGGGCATTTGCCCTGCGAGAGATTCAGTGGCCCAGGCTGCCGGAGAGGATCGGTTCTGGGCCTTGTGGCCCCTCTACAGGCTGCAGAGCATTCTGCACCTGATGGGGCCTTTCCACCGCATTAGCTCATCACTGCTCACCACCATCTCAGAGGGAGGCCAGGCAAGGACCTGGCCCTGCTGGCACGAGGACACGGAGGCTAGCAAAGCAAGTTCACGCAGCCAGAATGCAGCCAGGCCACGGCCCCCTTCAGGGGCCCCCTGCAGGACCCCCTTGCCTCCAGCACACAGGACCTGCCACCGGAAGGATTCCCTGTCCTTTATCACAGTAGACGTCAGGACAGGGGTCCACCATTGTACTGTGTGAAGGGCACTCATTACCCTAGGATGGACCCCAGTCAAGTCCACCACAGGCCTTGACCCCAGAGAGAAGAAGTGGAGTCATTTCTCAGAGCCAGAAAGCCCACTGGGTGCCATATGCCACTTGGGGGACAGACAGGGGAGAGGGTCATAAGATACTGAGGTGGCTGAGTCTAGGGCCAAGAAGCCAGGCCCCAGAAGGCCCAGAGGCAGCTTTCTTCCCATTCTGGCCTTCAGGATGACCAGGATACAGGACCAAAGACAAGGCTGGTTTTGCAAGCTGAGTGCTTAATCGTCCTCTAGAATCTACGGCTGCTCATGAAAGGTGTGGCTCAGTGGGAGAGCACAGGCCGATGCAGGAGGCCCAGAGTTCAATCCCTAACTC